CGCAGCTTCATGTAGACCTTCAGCTCCCTCTTGAGCTGCTTCAGCGCCACCGACTTCTTTTGTGGGGACCGGTTGGTCGACGTGGGCTGGTTTTTCAGAGAGAGGACGATGTCGTCGTTGGAAGGTCGATCTTCCACGCTCCGTTGTTGGTTCCCCATGCGCAGCTGCTGTAGTTGTCATACCGGTACATTCTTTTTCTTCTGGAGCCTCTCTCGTGATTTCACAAAGGCCGTAGACCCAAGGGAATTTTTTCCAAGTAAAGCATCCTTGTATGATATTTTGAAGGGGTGCTTACTTTTTACAGGGCCTTTTTGGAGTTGTCCGGGTCCAGCAGGGTCTTGTGTCGCGGAGATTTTATTTCCCTCGGCGATTTTCCCTGGTAGAGTCCGTTCGTGGTTTGAAAAAATCACTCCACGATCCTCCAATATTCGCATTAAATCTGCTCCACTGCTGCGGTCCCTAAGCGCTGAACGTGCAGTTTTCATTTCGTCACAATCGATGAGTCGATGTCCGGGCTTGCCGCAGAAAGAACACTTAGATTTGTTCTTCTTTGGTCTTGCCTTCGCGTCGATTCGATCGAGTTCCATCGGGTCGGCGTACGTAGGGTTAGCCAAGCGTCCTCCATGTCGTCTAGCTCGTCCATGAAGTCGTCGTGTTCCGATCGTGGTTACGTCGAAACGTTCCGCTGCCGAAACGACGTCGTTGTAGCTGCTCCAATTTGCGGCCGCAACATGATGTCGTGTTTCTTTTTTCAGCCCCGCGATAAATGCTCCAATTTTTTTGCCTTCCGTGACGTCGGGGATGCGGTTGAACAACTCCTCCATTTGTTGCGTGTAGTTCGCGACGCTCCCGATTTGTCGATGACGGTGTATTTTGTCGCGGGCGATAAACGCTGCATTAATCGGCTCAAAACGTTGTAGTAATCGTTCTCGGAACTGCTGCCACGTCGCTTCACCTTGGTTTAATAAACCGCTTCCGCTTATCCATTCAATTGCTGGTCCGCGCAGTAGTGTTGCTGCAAAATTAATTCTGTTTCTGTCGAGTGCTGGTGCTGTCCATCCAATGGCGGCGAAATAAATCTCGATCGCCAAAAGCCAGCGCCTAGCGTCGATTTCCCCATCAAAGCTGTTGGGGGCTCGAATTTCTTGGTCCTTGGGAAAATTTCGCGACTGCTGCGAAGTCACGATCGATTCTGCTTCTGTCGCAATTTTCGTCATGACGCGCACTTTCACCCGAAGTCGTTCGATCCGTCGCGCGTCGGTCTCGCTACTTCTGCACCGCTCGATATAGGTCCCGACAATTCGCAATTGTCGTCCCTGTATCGCAAACGTTTTCGCCAACAATCGAACTCATGATCCTGTTCAAAAAACGCGCGAGGGGGGTTATTCAAAAAACGCGGAATCTGGTGCTTACCAGCGTCGGCGCCGAATTCGTCGCCCCCGGCGGTTTTTCGAAGCAGGAATTTCTTGAGCGCGCTGCTTAGCTGAAACTCCGCGAGTGAAAACGGCTCTGATACCAAGTGTCACAGGATCGAATTTCCACTCGAGAATGTTGCACTAAAGGTGAGTACAAGGCGTATTTATACTCAGAAATACATAGAAACAACAGATAATCCGAACCTTCGGGAACGCGCTCTTCTAGAATTGATAATCACAAGTGCGCATAAGCACGCAAGCCCTTTGGCACTTCGGATTATGGCGAGATTACACCTTGTACACCACTGTCGGTGCTGTCGGTGCCGTATAATGTAAATGTCGGTGCCGAAAATACCAAATAAGTGAAATAATCGGAAAGCTCTAGAAAATAGAATAGTAGTCCGATTGAGGTGAAATAAAGTGTAAATGAAAGAGGAAAATAAGGAGAATAAGATGGAGTAAAAATATGGAAATGAGAAATATGTCGAACGTCGGCGTACTCTCACAAGAAACGTGGGGCCGCGGGGCCTAGGGTTTAGGTGCGTCAGGGCCTCGAAAACCTACCTAGGGTTTAGGTGCGTCAGGGTTTTTGTAGTAGAGCGGCACGAGGTCGAAAAGGAAGTGTAGCCAGAGGAAAACCGCTCCAAAGCCGCACTGCTGGAAGTCCATGTGTCGAGTCAGGTACAAGTGGCCGAGCTTGTTGTCTTTGACGGTCTTCGAATTGCGATAGGCGACCACGAGAACGAGGATCGACGATTCCCCCGGGCTGTTCGTGATGGGCAGAAGGACGTGAGTGAACATGTTGCAGTAGCGGATCGTATGGATGCTGATCCCCCTGCCCACCATGTGATGCGCCATCAGAATCATCACCCTCACAGCCAAGGCCTTCCACAGCGACAGACTGGGGTACGCCATCGACGACCCGAAGTACACCTTGGCCCAGTGCGGCAAGATGTCTGAAACAAGAATGCGGAACTACTCCTCCGTGTAGACATCGTCGAGCGAACCACGGTGTGGGTCGACGCAGCTCCTGCATAGAGTGGGCAGATACAGCAATGAATAAGTGAGAAGTTGTAGTAGACGGGGTAGGGAAGCGAACTTACTCGAACTGATAGTCGTGCAGCTGTCGCAGCTTGATCGCAAGTAGCTGCCTAGCCTCGGTGATGTCGTCCATCGGTTTTGTGAGTGGTTTGTCGAAGAGTATGGCCTCTACTTTGCACAAGCACCCTAGCGCGGTTAGGCGGGCCAGCATCATCGGTGGGGTGCATTTTTTCGGCTTCCGTCCTGCTACTCTGGTCTGCCCGGTATCCAAGGAATGCCTGTTCGTCCGTTTCCGTCGACATGTACTCGACGTAAGCCCGCAACCGCCATTTCGACGTCCAAGGCCCATGCAGGTGCTCCTTGTTAAGGAGCGCTGCCCTCCACCCCTTCCCTAAATCCTTGCCGATCTCTCTCCCGACCTCGGCCTCGTTGATCACCTGCTCCTCGACCGGCACTCCCTTGTTTTTTTCGGGCGCCAGGGTTGCACAGGCCCAAGCCTTGAAATGCATGAAACCCGAGACGTAGTTTGGCCGAGTGGAATCCTGGTCGATTGCCAGCAGCGGAAGCCGACAACGGTGAATCGCAATTTTGAGTGTTCCCGTCACCAAGTATGGATTTTCTTTGCCCTGTTCGTCACCGAGAACGTGGGCTGCCTCCTCTTTTGATATATTTGCCGCGGCAGGGCGCAAAGGGTCCACCTCTTCGACATCGTCCGCCTCGGGCTGTTCTCCCTGCTCATCGTCGTCATCATTCGTCTCTGCAGGGACGTGGCTGGCTAAGTCCGCTTTGCTGGGTCTTTTCGATGAGCGCATAGGCGAGGCGGGAGTGGCTCGCGAAGCGGATGTACCGGCTGGGGGTGGTGGCCTAACCTCAGCCGGAACACCCGTACCCCTTCTCCTATGTCGCCCACCAGTCGAGCTCGAGACAGCGGCTACTGGTTCCGTTGGTGTTGTCGAACGTTGTGGTGCCGAAGATGATGACGGCTGGTTAGTCGCTTCCGATGTTGAGGGAGGGGTTGTTGTCGAAATCGGTTCTACTACTACAAGTATGGATTGCGCCGTCGAAGGGACTTCGGTCGGTGCCCCCCCCACTTCGACATTGACGGCACGTTCCGTCGAGCGTTGATCCGTCGCAACCGGCTGACCCACTACCGGTATGGCTCGTGACGTCGAGAGTGGCGCTGTTGATACCAGTATGGCTCGTGATGTCGATTGTGGAGGTGTCGAGCCCGGTATGGCTCGTGACGTCGAGGGTGGCGGTGTCGAGCACAGTATGGCTTGTGACGTCCTAGGGGGTTGCGTCGAGATGGTTTCAACGTCGACAGGTAGCGGTCCTACCACTGCCTGCCGGAAAGGCGTTGTCCTCGACGGATCGTTCTCCATCAGTGCCTACCCGAAAGCTCTCGTTGCCGTAGCGCTGGCCTAACTGACAAAAACGATGTTACTGCTGCTCCCAGTTTAGGATTTCATTTAAACCGTTGTTGGGCTGATAACCCTTTCCTTACAGGTGTCCTCAAGGCCATCTCCTTTGACGTGGCGGTCATCTGTTGACGTGACCCCTTTGATGGCGACTTACGTAACCCGTCGCCCGTCCGACATCGACGTCTCGCTCGACCGTCGAAGTTATCGGTCGACCGCAGTTGACGGCGCCGTCGATTGTGACCGTCGGCCGGTTGCGAAACCCGTTACCACTCACGTCGACCGACAGCGCGGCCTGTCAGGCGACGTAGATGGCGACGGTGCACGGTGCTCGACGGCGATTGGCCAATGCCCGTCGAGCAGTGCTCGATCAATGTCCCCGAAATTGCAAGAGTACGGCTGTCATATATATGCGCGTAAGAACACGACATTGAGACGGAGGGATTCGTCAGGATTTTTGGCCTGGCCAGGGGGGATTTTCGGGGTGACCCGAGGGATTCGGAGGGTTTTCGGATTTGCCCCGAAATCCCTTTGTGCCAGGACCCGTGGGGCGGCATGTGCTGACGTCACGCGTCCCTATATTACTGGATAATTGCGACTTTCCACTGCACGCTTCAACTCGCATTCTTCCACTCGCCATGCTATAGCAGCACCCTAGAACGACGATGGCAGAATCAACGAATTCACCTGCATAGATTGACACTGGACGGCCCAGGTCGCATTTTACGATGAGTCTCGGCAGATGGACCGCGAGATATGTAAGTCGCACGCACGAGATTTCTCCGCCTGTCGCACTTGACTCGTTTTTCATCAGACTCTGATGAATTCGGAATTGCCCGCAAGCGAGTATGGCGTTGTGACACTAGCAGCGGCTGGATGTAAATACATTTTTCCGCCGTGCCGTCGTTTGCAGCGGGTGTAGTAGACGAGGTGGATTTTGAGCGCGCTCGTTGGATTGACCAAAAAGTCGCTCATGGTTGGACAGAGATGATTTCGAAATCGAGAGTTCTTCCCAGAATGGAGTCGCTGATAATATCCGCTGCGCTGCGACTTGGAATACTGTCGCGACTCCTGCAAAGCCTGTTCGCGGGCCTAGAAGCACTAATACCTATAAAAGACGAGAAGCATGAGAGCTGTGCATGGAAGCGCGGTAAGATCGCAAGCAGCGCCGCGTCTCCGCGCGTCCGTCTCGTATTTCCATAAATTTCCCCTTCCCCAACGACCATCTGCGAAATTCGTGTTTGCTCCTCCATCCGCTTTCCCCCCCTCCTCCTCCTGCCTCTCCCGTTCGCACCCGCTCTTCCCCATCCAATCCCCTCCCGCGCCCCGGCAGGAGGACACCAACGTGCGAATGCGCAGGAAGCGCGGCGGGACAGCTGGCGGGCCCTCATTGGGCATCCGCGTGGGCGCGGGGTCCGCCGCGACCGTCAGCCTGCTCGGCGCTTCTGGGGGAGGCGGCATCTACGGCAGCGCGGGCGGAGGGGGCTCGGGGCGCGGAAGAGAGGCAGCCGGGGGAACGGGAGGCGGGATTGGTGGCCCAGCAGCGGGGGGAGTGGGGGTGATGAAGCTCGTACAGGAGCACTACCTGAGGGAGGACATCAAGTGTGGGTCTGCGCTGTGCTACGTGTGCTACACACACCTCCCCCGCCATGTCCCGCTGCTCTCTGGGGATGTGCTCCACTGCCAGCTGCTTCCTAGAGAGCTGCTCTGGCAATTCCCAGAGGAGGGCTTGCTGCACGATGAGGCTGACCGGCCGTCGCTGTCTGCTAGCGCAAAGCACTACGTGGTGGGTGAAGGAGGGAGAGAGTGGGTGGGGATTGAGGGAGGGAGTGGGTAAGTGAATGCGGGACGGAATGGGTGAGTGAATGAGGATTGAACGGGTGTTTGAGGGAGGAAATGATTGAAATCGTGGATGAGTGAGTGACTGAGTGGACGAGTTTACACAAGAATTATGCCCCCTTGCTTCATCTCTGTTGCGGTGAGTGAGCGAGGCTATTTCTCTCCGCAGGTTGTCTTCCAGTGATCCCCGCGGTCCCTCCCTTGCCACTCATCATTGCCTTTCGTCCTCCGTTTCTCATCCTCCACCTTCTCTCCCCCTGCCCCTTCACGTCTCGCTCTCTCCTTTTCCCTCCTCCCTCCTTATACTTGAAGGGGAAGGAAGAGAAGTGGAGGAAGAGAGGCGATGATGAGGGACAAGGGAGAGACCGCGGGGAGCATTGGAAGGCAACTTGCGGCAAAGAGATAGCCTCACTCACTCACTTCCACTCTGTGCATCTCCAACTGTTGTGACAACTTGTTGTTGTTGGCTTCCATGCCTCTCCCACCTTCCACTCTCCCCCCCCTTCCTGCCCTCTCGCTTTCTTCCCTCCTCCCTACTCTCCCCACTCCCGGCCTCTCCCCACCTCTTTCCACCTCTCCCCCCTCTCGCCCTCTCCCCCCCTCGCCCCACTCTCCCCGCAGATCCCCGATGCAGCGTCACTGGTGGAGTACGTGGAGGTGTGGGAGCTGCCTCCCATACGCCACACCATCGTGCTCGGCTCCGTGCTCAAGGAGGTGCGGGAAGGAGAGGCTATTTGTGGGGGGCAGGAGCAGGGGGGGGTGGGAATGATGGTAGGGCGGATGAGCACACTATCCCATCGTGCTGGGCTCCGTGCTCAAGGAGGTGCGCACAGGAGAGGTTCATGAGTTGGAGTGGGAGGGGAAGTGAGGGGAAGGTGGATGGGTGAGTGGGTCGGTGGGTGGGCGCTGGGCTGTGTGTATTATTCCGGTGGTTTTCTTTTCCAGCGGCTGAGAGCGAGAGAGAGAGACGCCCTACCTCTCTCAGAATGGCATGCGTGGTGCGCCGAACTGCTCAACACTGCCTTAACCGCCGCCAGCATCCAACCACCCCGCCGTGACACAGAGTTCAACTTCCTACTTCGCCAAGCAACCCTCCCAGTAGCACTGGGTGGGCTAGGCCTCACGGACCCCACAATAGAAGCAGCACCAGCCTACCTGGCTTCGACAACAGAGGCGCTACGCCTACTCCGCTCACTTGACCTCCCAGCAACCTCGGCGCTAGGGAGCAACAGCAACGCCCTACAGCTGTCGGCAGCACACTCGGTCACCATCCAAGACATGGAGGGACGACTGCCACCACTGGCACTGCAAATCCTCCGCGGGGAACAGGAATCCCCGTCCCAAGACCAGCTGCAGCGCGCCCTTTCCCAGGAAGTACATGCGGCAAAAACCGACGGCCTGGCAGAGGAATCACGCGCAATCAGGTCTGCCCCCGAGTTGGGGCACACACTCCGCCTCGTCAGCCTGAGAGGTGAGGGAGCGGGGGCATGGCTGCAGGCCCTACCCCTGACCCCAGACCTCTGCTTTTCACCAGGGCAATTCCGAACAGCCCTGGCCTTCCGCATGGGCATCCGACAGAACATACCCACCGTGTGCGAGTGTGGAGAGCTCGTAGCCGACTGCAGCCTCCCATTTCAGAATTATATTCTTATACCTGCATGTAGTTCTAGCTGTAGTGTAGATATTAACTTTATAGGTGGTGCACCTCTTTGTTTGCTATATGTACCCTAGTGCTATAGTGAACATCATTCCCCATTCCTCTCTCCTTGGCACAAACTACCTCGACTCCCTTGGCCTAGGCTACTAAGCCTAGGCCCTCACTTAAACCTAGGCTTTACTTAGCCTCCTATTCTAACATGCTATCAGAGCCTGTTAAGTCTTGGCCTATGGGCCAGCCTCTCGCTTCCGCTGCTGTTTTTCCGGTCGCGCGCCTCGGGCGCGTGGCGATTTTCGTTCTGTCCCGCGCCCGGGTGGCGCGTGACGTTTTTTTCTGCCCGACGCGGACCCGCCCCTGGCGCCCGCGACGGCGCCCTGAGCCGCCGCGGACCCGCCCCTGGCGCCCGCGACGGTGCCCTGCCTGCCCGTCGTGCGCCCCGTGGCGCGCGACGGTGCCCTGCCTGCCCGTCGTGCGCCCCGTGGCGCGCGACGGTGCCCTGCCTGCCCGTCGTGCGCCCCGTGGCGCGCGACGGTGCCCTGCCTGCCCGTCGTGCGCCCCGTGGTGCGCGACGGTGCCCTGCCCGTCGTGCGCCCCGAGGCGTGCGGCGGTTTCATCGCCTGTCGCGCGCGGCCCCCCCAGGTCGCCTCGACAGGCGACGGGAGGGGCGACCTGGGGGGGGCCGCGCGTCGGAGCAGCCGCCCCTGGTGCAGCCGCCCCTGGAGCAGCCGCCCCTGGACCCAGAGCAGCCGCCCCTGGCCCCTGGAGCAGCCACCCCTGGCCCCTGGAGCAGCCGTCCCTGGCCCCTGGAGCAGCCGCCCCTGGTGCAGCCGCCCCTGGACCTCAGCAGCCGCCCCTGGCCCCTGGAGCAGCCGCCCCTGGACCCCGCGACGCCGCCCCTGGACCCCGCGACGCCGCCCCTGGACCCCACGGTGCCGACCCTGCAGCTGCATGCGACGCCGCTCCTGGACCCGGTGCAGCCGCCTCCCTGTGCTGCCCATTGCCGCCCGTTGCTGCCCGTGCCTGTGCTGCCCGTTGCTGCTCTCCCCCCCCCCCCTTCTTCGTCTCCCTGCTGCGCGTGCAGCCGTGGAACGGAGGGTATGGGGGTGGCGGGTGTGGGGGTGATGGGTGGTGTGTTTCCCTTCCCCTCCTCCTCCTTTCGTTCCCACTGCTGCAGCTGCCGCTGGGGGGGAGGAGAGTAAAGGGGTGGCAGGAGTGCCTGCCCCTTTGCTGCTGTACCTGCTCTGTTGCCTTATCTGCTGTTGCTGTTTTCTCTGTCTGTGGTGTACCTCTGCAGGTTGTGTTCTGCACTTAGCTATTCCTGCATGCAGTTACGGGGGGATGTCAGAATTATATTCTTATACCTGCATGTAGTTCTAGCTGTAGTGTAGATATTAACTTTATAGGTGGTGCACCTCTTTGTTTGCTATATGTACCCTAGTGCTATAGTGAACATCATTCCCCATTCCTCTCTCCTTGGCACAAACTACCTCGACTCCCTTGGCCTAGGCTACTAAGCCTAGGCCCTCACTTAAACCTAGGCTTTACTTAGCCTCCTATTCTAACATCCCCAACCACCTACTCCGCTGCAGCACAGGCCCTGACAGAACACGCACACACAACCAGCTGGCTTTCGCCGTGGCTAAAATGGCGAGGGAGGCACAGCTGGTGGTATACCTGGAGAACGCGATGTACTCACCACCGGATGACCCGAAGAAGGCAGATGTGATTGTACGCGACCCAGACAGTGGTGAGACATGGATCACAGACACGACCATCACTGACCCCGTGCTACAGAACCGTGACCCAGCAGCCCGCAAACCCCCTGGATGGGCTGCAAGGGAGGCTCAGAAAAGGAAGGAACGGGACTACTACAGGCACACAGAACACGTGGTGTTCTGCGCCCTAGCTGTTGAGACCTATGGGGCAAACGCACCCCCCACAACGGCGTTCCTGAAGCTGCTGGCCACAGCAGCAGCTAGGAACCGCTTCAGGGCCAATCCCTTGGCGAAAACTGCCAAGAAAATGGCCTGCCACTTCAGCCAGCGCTGGTCAGTGGCCCTCCAGCGCTCTCAAGCGAATGCCCTGCACACCAAGGCCAGGGCAGGGATCGAGGCGGCGCACCCCCAGATGGCAGCAGACCCATGGCCGCTGCACCTGGGGGACATCCTCCACACACTGGAGGGGTAGAGGGTCACTGAGGGGGGAGGAGGGTCAGAGGGATGGGCCAATGGGGCAGAGGGTCTAAAGGGAACCACAAATCAAACCGTATGCTTGTACCCCCGCTGAATTAATACAAAGGACCATTTGAGAGAGAGAGAGAGGGGATCCTTAGCCCTCTGCCTCTTCCCTCTGCCCTCTGCCCTCCGTGCCTACTTAAGGGCTGCTGTTGGCTCTCCTTGCTCATTATTCCGTGTGATCCCCCCCCCTCTCCCCTCTCCCCTCTCCCCTCTCCCCTCTCCCCTCTCCCCTCTCCCCTCTCCCCTCTCCCCTCTCCCCTCTCCCCTCTCCCCTCTCCCCTCTCCCCTCTCCCCTGTCCCCTCTCCCCTGTTCCCTCTCCCCTCTCCCCTCTCCCCTCTCCCCTCTCCCCTCTCCCCTCTCCCCTCTCCCCTCTCCCCTCTCCCCTCTCAGCTCTCCCCTCTCCCCTCTCCCCTCTCCCCTCTCCCCTCTCCCCTCTCCGCTCTCCCCTCTCCCCTCTCCCCTCTCCCCTCTCCCCTCTCCCCTCTCCCCTCTCCCCTCTCCCCTCCCCCCTCCCGCCCACCCTATCGTTTCCCCTCCATTCGTCTTCCATCCACAGGTGCTTCACTTTTCCAGTGCCCACCATGCCGGCCGTATCCGGTTCGTTCCTCCCACACCCACACCATGCCACATCCCACACCCACACCATGCCACATCCCACACCCACACCATGCCACCTCCCACACCCACACCATGCCACATCCCACACCCACACCATGCCACATCCCACACCCACACCATGCCACATCCCACACCCACACCATGCCACATCCCACACCCACACCATGCCACCTCCCACACCCACACCATGCCACCCCTGCTGCCGGCCTTACTGCCGACCTTTCTGTCCATTCTCCTATTTAAAGCCCCATTCCTTGGCCATACCTACCATGCTCGCACTGCTAATTATATCCTCGCCTGCGCTCAGCTCTCAATCCTGTTTTAGGCGTTTTTTTGACAATGTACTCGTTTCTCACTCCTCCCTCATCTCTCACTCCTCCTCCCTCATCTCTCACTCCTCCCTCGCCTCCCACCCTCCTCCCTCATCTCTCACCCCTCCTCCCTCTTGTCTCACCTCTTTCCTTTTGCCCCTCGCGTCGTCCAATTAGTTGCTCTGTCCCCTCGTGTCGTGTACTCAAGACAAGTCGGGACGCAACCCACTTGAGTTTACCTGCAAGATGCACCATCCTCTCTTTCCTTCAACCCATCGCAGTGCACTATGTGATGCTGGGCGCCAGGCGGCAACAAAGCTTGTAATTTTAACAACCGGCACTTCCCCATCACCCACCTCATTGGCACCTTGAAGCCTTGTCTCACCATAGCCTCCTGCCTGTTTACCTGACAACGCCGCCTCTTTCCTCTCCCATGCCCCGTCGCAGTGCTCTGTGCGATGATGGGCGAAGGGAGAGCTCCTTCTTTGACGACCGGCACTTCCTCTTCACGCACACCATGGCAGAGGAGAGGCGGGCAAGCCTGAGGGTGACACTTGGTGATGCTGCTTCTGCTGAAGGTGGGTGTGTGGGTGTTTGAGTTGAGTGTCTGCCGGTCACCTCGTGACAAGGAAGGAACCTTCACTGGTTCGTCACTGCTGGGCTGACGAAAGACGCTTGGGGTGAGGTTGTGTTGGCTTGGCTGAAAGTGTGTGTGATGGACGCACATGTGTACGTGTGTGTTTGGGTATGTGTGGCGTCCACAATATGCCTTCATGCCCTTGAGCAAACCTGTGTTCGCATGCTCTTTAATTCATCGCACATTGAGCTAATATGCTGATGTGTATGCTCTTTACCTTTCCTTTAGGCTGACCTATATACACATCACCAATTCATCAGCCTTCCATCTCACATCAAGAGCGAGTGTGCTTCTCACACCCTCAAATTCTCACCGCTCCAGTGGATCTGTGTCACGTGGTGGCAGCAGCGCAGTGGTTCTCAACCCATCTGCACCGCGCCATACCCATCCTCATCGTGTCGGACGAGCTGGCAGCGGCACGTGGCAGCATTCCATTGGGCGAGGTGCTGCAGGCTGTGCAGCGCAACGAGGTGGTGGTACGTGCGTGCTCTTAAGTGGTTGCCATTCAACTGATCGTGGTATGTGCATGCCATTGGGCGAAGTGCCGCAAGCCGTGCAGCGTAACGAGGTGGTGATACGTGCGGGTTCTCGGGTGGTATGTGCATGCTGTGATCTTTGTTGCGTGTATCAATATTGAGGCTTGTCTGGTCTGGTCTAACAGGAAAAGTGTCAAGAGATTTGACCTCCTTACTTTGCTTGCTGCAACGTCAGCCTTCTCTCTCCTTCCCCCTTCCCTCCCGCTCCCAACTTTCAATGCAGTTCCTTGTCTCGCCTTTCGTCTCTTTCTTTGTTTCCCCCTCTGTCCCCCATATCCCATCTCCCTGTGCCACAGGTGATGACAACAGAGGCATTCTTTCAGACCTACTATGGCCACTGCACCACAGTCACCACGCTCATGGACTCCCTCGTGAGCACACGCAACCCAACTGCGTGATAAGTTGATGGCCATGCGTGTGTTACTTATGATTTGATGTGCCACTGCTGCACCACTGTTACCACGCTCATGGACTTTCTCGTGAGCACACCCAACCAACTGCATGATAAGTTGATAACCCACGTGTTGATAACAACATGTGCTGAACCTGAAGTTGATGAGTACGTGTGTGTTACTTAAAATGTACCACCACTGTCACCATGCTCATGGACTCTCTCGTGAGCAGCCTCAACCATCTATCGTACCTGGTAACCACACGTGTTACTTAGATCGTACAGCCACTGTCGCCACGCTCATGGACTCTCTTGTGAGCACACCCAAACCTCAACCTGGTAACCAAGCACGTACGTTTACTCAGGCTTCCGTCTTGCGTACTCCGTTGTTTCTAGTTTTTATTCGCATTGTTTCCTCTACCATAGCTTCAGACTTCTGATTCAAGTCAGAATAGAACTTTCACTTCTTTTCATCTACCGCAGTGCTCCTGTTTGACCAGTCCCCATCCACATCCCCAACCCAACCCCATTCTTATCCCCATCCCTATTCCTTGATGTTCTTAGCATGAGCATCAACCATCCTCACTGCTTCAACTGCTGATCAGGACTCTCCACCAACATGCCTGTGCTCCTGTCCTCCTCCCTCCCCACCAGGCCACCCAGCATGCCTTGCGCCTCTCGTCATCCTTCAAATCCACGTCTGGCGGCAGCAGGCTCGGTGGCAGCAGGTTCGGAAGCGGCAGGCTCGGCAGCGGGAAGCAGCGCAAGGAGGTGTTCACACCACACCTGTCAAGTGAGTCGAGTCGAGAGCCAATTGACATGGAGGAGGAGGAATTGACTCGGTCTGCAAGGAAACTAGGTCTGTGACAATTGCAGCGCAGGGGCGCGGCGAGGAGTTCTCGTGCTTTGAAAAGGGACACCGAAAGGTTTCTTCCCCATGGCCAATTTCATTGACAAGTGCCTTGAAGACACACTTGTCAGACAGGTGCCATTTCCATTGACAAGTGCCTTGGTCATGCAGAGCTGTATGTGCTCATTCACACCGTCTCCCTGTCGTTGCCATGACCCATTTCCTATTTATCTCTATGATCTGTGATTGGGTTCTGCGCGGTTCTAATCTTCCAATGTCCAGGCACAGCAGTGGCGGAGGGGGTGGCACTGGGGGCCATCCGAGTGGGAGTGCTGCACATCACAACCACCACAGTTCCGGTTTCCATATCTTTACATCCCATGCATTCCTTCCATCCCTCCACTCTCAGGCACAGCAGTGGCGGAGGGGGTGGCAGTGGGGGCTATCCGAGTGGGAGTGCTGCACATCACAACCACTGAGCCTTTCAAAGCCACCGTCAAACCCAAGTGAGGGAAGAGTGCTCTTGACTGGCGTTGACTGGCGTTGACTGGCGCTTACTTATTATCTGTGTGGCTTAGTTGGAGTATACGCTCGAATCTTTTTGCTTTTTGAGTTTATACGCGCTAAAAAAACGACCGCTGCGTTTTTGGTGTGGAAACGCAGAAAAACGCTCGGGCAGCCCGGGAAAAAAATCAGAAGTTGGGTTTGAGCTAGCGACATGGCGAACTGAAAATTAGGGCATCGCACATTCGGGATCTCAACTTCAAAATTGAATTTCGAAGCAGATCCACAACAACCCCTTGTGTGTACCATTGCGCAACCCACTCCACCCCATTCAATCCCAATTCCTTCCACTCAATTTCGAGTGGAGGAGTTGGATTCAACCAGACTCATCTCTAGCAGAAATGCGGCTCTAATTCTCCATTCGATCTTCATCGTTCGGATTTTTTTACCTCGTTTTTACCTACCTCGTTCGTATCGACGAGTATGACTAGACTGCGGGCACCAACTTCGTGCTTTGCACCTCGCGCATCCCCCCCTCTTAACCTAACAAACTGCCCGGCCAAAATTTTTATGTGCCCGGGCCTGCGATTTCACTGCGTACCGGACCCCTCCCAAGAAGCGTTCGGCGTTTATACGCTAGCGGATAAACGCTAGCGTATGAAACGCGAAACGCGCATACTCCAACTAAGTTGTGTGGTAGAGGGGTGGCAGTGGGGGGGCTATTTTTGTAAGGATGCTGCACATCACAACCACTGAGCCATTCAAAGCCACTGTCAGCCATTCTACCCCATGCCCCCTGCCCCACCCCCCTGCGCCCTGCCCCATCGCCCTGCCCCATCGCCCTGCCCTAGGGATGAGCAGGGGGCGAACTCGAACATGTTCGGGTTCGCCCCCTCTCGAACATCGACTTCTGCCGAACGGAACAGTGTTCGGTTCGGCAAACGAATTGGGCGAAAATTGGTGTTCGCCGTTCGCCCTAGGAGGCGAACGAATTGCTGCAGCAGGCGAACACGAACACGTTCGAGGCGAACATGTTCGTGTTCGCCCAGGGGGATATTCGATATAGTCACACAGGTCAGAAAACAATTTTGAAGGTTCAGGATGATAGCATAGGGTTTGCAGGGTGTATATGTGTGCATGCAACGAACCCAGTACTACAACATCATGTTATGTGAAGGGAAATGTCAATGTCAAACAAATTCCTACGCCAAGGCGCCACTGCTACTACCAACAGCAGCATCTTCTCCACCAGCTGTGTCGTCTGCCTCCACACCCTCCTCCTCCTCCTCGTCATCCTCCTCCGCCCCCTCGCCCTCAATGGCGAACTCTGGTGGTGCGACGCCTCTCGGTCGGCGGCCCTCGCCTATCCTCTGGCCAGGGTGTGAACTGTACCATGATCTGAGAATCATGACAGCTCGCGTGCTCTGAGAGGCCAGGCGGTGCCGCTTCCAGGAAATGAGGTTGCGACCAAGGGAGAACACCCGCTCACTCGGAGCGGACGTGGCAGGGATGGCGAGATAATTCCGGGCCATGCGCCTCAGCGTCTGCATGTTGGTGGCACTGCACCAGTACTCTAGCGCTGTCACGTCGCACTGCACCCTCTCGGACAAGTACCTGCTAACCTCGTCATCCTGCACCATCCCACCCCCCCCCCGCCTCCTGGTTCGCCGACAGACGCGCCGCAAGTTGTCGGCGACTAAGGAGAAGCTGCGCGTCATAGTGGTCCTCCGCCTCGTCTCCCTCCTCCTCCGCAACGGGGGCAAGTGGGGTCGGCCGTGGAGCAAGCTCTGCAGCCCGGGCCTGGTACTCGGCCACGCGGTCGCGCACCAGCTTGATCACCTCGCCAGACGCCGGACGCGGCCTCACCCTCCTGTCGGTCTCGGGATGCAGCTTCTCCCAGTGCGCGTCGTCGAACCACGCCGCGTTCATGGATGGGTCCAAGAAGGTGGCGATCCAGTACTCGTTGCTGGTGATGTAGGCGTACTTCTTCAAGTGGCTCAGCGCCGCCACGATCATCGGCTGCAGCGTCGGAGATGGCCCCTTGGCAAGGCGCGACTCCATGGCGTCGATCAGGCCGTTGTAGTACGACACCACCATCGACACAGTCGGGTACGCCGCCCCCTCATCTGCCTTGGAGACTTTGGCGAAAGGGCTTAGGAACGTCTTCACCGCCTGCAGGGTCTCCCAGTCTGCGTCTGTCAGGCGCAGACTCTCCACCTTCTTCTTGTCGGTCTTCGACAAGCCCTGTCAGGTAGAGGGAATGGTTTGGGGGGAGGTATGAGGGAAACTGTGGTTATGGAGGATTTTGGCATCCGGCCGGCAACATATAAGCTTGACCAACAGTATTGTGTAGAAGTGCTAACACACCACACCATGACATAACCACACACTACAACCCACACACAACACATGTGTTACCTGTGTCTGGGCAAAGAAGACAGTGATGGGGTTCTGCAGAACACCCGCACGCTCGACCATGTCGTGGGTCGACCCCCAGCGCGTATGACTACCCTGCACCAGCTTCAACACCGGCTTCGGCTTGGCGGGGTTGGCCTGCGAGTTCAAGGGGATGGTTTTGAGACAAATTGACACACGATTACAATAAAAACATCAAATAGTCAAATCCCCTTCATACAGCAGGCATGGGACACTCACAGCCTCGGCCTCGACGATGCGGAAGGGGAGGTCGCAAGTGACCACCAGCTTGGCGATCGACTGCCGTAGCTCCACCGTGGACAGCTTGGTTGCCGTAGCTCCACCGTGGACAGCTTGGTTGTCATGAAGCGCTCCATCCCGCCTGACCCCCGAGCTCCACCAGACGCCTTCCCTTTCTTCTTGGCGAGATGCGGCCAAGACTTGGCATGCGGCCACCGATCGACGTAGCCATCCGGCACACCGTTGTAGCCCCCACGAGGAAACGTCTCCCCAAGCAAGAGAACGCACGGAGTGTGGTAACAGTGATGCCACACGTGCATGTGCGCTGTGTGGTAGCTCTCGAAATGCCGCTCGCCGGGTGTTGTTGTGGATTGCTTCCACGAAATCCTGTCAGTGCAAATCATGCACTGACGCTTCTCGTCTGCCCCTTTAGGCCCGAACATCTGTACTTGCCACCCCGGTTTCTTATTACCCTTGCCAGTCCCCTTACTACTCTCGGACCCTCCATCCTCGTCTAGGAACTCCGGAGCGATCACACCCTCGCCCAAGGGCTTCCCAGTGAATGTGCAGGGATACGCTCGCTCCCTCAACTTGTTCGCCCTCTTCCTCCGCTTCGGCCCCGCAATGGACGCCCGCTTTATCCCCACCTTAACCCCCACGCTCCCTCCTCCTTCAGCCACATGCTGTGAGGCCGCCTCTGTCGCCGCCCCTCAACCACCCTCTCCCACCCCCTCCTCTACCTCCTCTAGCTCCAACCCATCCATCTCATGGTCCTCCTCATCATCCCCCCCTTCCCCACCGCCATGCGTCTCGGGATCCCACCCGGCCTCACTGTCATCCCCGCTCCCCTCATCGTCCTCATCCTCCTCGCCCTCACCCTCCTCCTCCTCATCCTCCTCCTCACTGCCACTCTCCGGCTGCGTCTGCCCAGAAGGAGGGGGGCGCGGGCCGTCGTAACGGAACGAGTGACGGGACGTCGGCGCCGCTACGGAAAGAAACCCCCCGACGAAACAAGCGCCGGCTCCTGCAGGTCTATCCCCTACTCGCCCCTGCATAGGTCGTGGTGGAGAACCTGGTGTACCGCCCTGAGCGTTGCCTGCACCTCGTTCTACAGATCCATGTTGGCCGGAAGCCATAACTCCGCCCTCGGCCTTAAAACCCTAAAACCCCAAAGTAACGGTCGCAAGCCACAGATAGCACGGTCCTAATTGAATTCCTAGTTACGTGTGGCACGGAGAAATGCCCGCCCCTACAACTAGAGAATTGACCGCTACAAGCTTGATCCCGTAGCTACCAACCCATTGTGTTTCTGAAATTACCCTACACTACTAACTAGTTAGATGAAATGTCAGTGTAAAAGTTAAGGAACGGTGTGCGATGATGGCTCTTAAAATCGCAAAGCTATGGCGGTTGTGGGAGGGAGGGCTAAGCGCCAAAGTCGTTTTGAGTTTGAGCTCAAGAAATGAGCCCAAACTCAAAACGGCCGCGACCTAAATTTGGTCGTGGCCAATTTTGACGCGAACACTTTGGTGTTCGAAAACCCCCTATGTCGAACACGAACACGTTCGCCTTCGACATTCCGCGGCCTAATGTCATAGGCGAACGGCGAACGTGTTTGGCCGAACACCGAACACGTTCGCCCCGAACGAATTAGGCGAATCGAGGCGAACCGAACAGGTGTTCGAGAATTTGCTCAAGCCTACCCTGCCCCATCGCCCTGCCCCATACCCCCAATCCCCTTTCCTCTGGTACAGTCACACGTAGGTGCACGCCCCCCACAGCAACATCTCCATCCTCTCATGGCGCCACCTCAACCACACTCTGCCTGACAAACCTACTACCCTTCTCCATTTTCCTATCCCCCCTCTCCCCCTCCTCCCCCCTCCCGCTCCCTTAACCTCCGCTCTCCTCTTTCCACTGGTACAGTCACAAGCAGGTACACGCCCCCAGAGTGACATCACCATCTTCTCATGGCGTCACCTCAACCGCGCTCTCCTCAGCCATACTACCCCATGCCCCATGCCCCATTCCCCTTGCCCCATGCCCCTTGCCCCATACCCCATGCCCCTTGCCCCATGCCTCCCCAACCTATCTTTCCTGTGGTGCAGTCGTAAGCAGGTGCACGCCCCCCAGAGTGACATCACCATCCTCTCATGGCGGCAGCTCAACCGCGCTCTCCCGGGCGACACCGTGGCAGTCAGGCTGCTGGGCAAGCGCAGGGTGGGGGACAGACAGGTGGGGGGTGGGCAGATGGGGGGAGGGCACATGGGGTCCGGGAAAATGGGGGCCGGGCACGTGGGGGGAGGAGGCATGGAGACGAGGGATGGGAGAAGGGGTTGGGGGGAGAGTGAGAAAGAGGCAGAGGGGATGAGGGAGGGAGAGGAGGGTGTGGTGGGAGTGAGGAGGTACGACGGTGGGTGGAGTGAGGGAATGGAAGGTGGAGGTGGGGTTGTTGGGGTTGGGACTGGGGTTGGCAGTGCCGGTGGGGAGGATGGGGATGAGGGTGCCGGCGGTGGTTGGGGTGGTGGTGGTGGCGGCGTTGCTGCTGCCACGTCTGACGCTCACCTTCCCCTGGCCCCTTCAGCCTGGGATGAAGCGCCCCCTCCCCCTGCCTCTTCAGGGTGGGGGGAAGCCCCGCCCCCGCCTCCCCCTACTGGCTTGGCGGAAGTTCCCCTCACTCCCCCTCCACCCACGGGCTGGGGAGAAACCCCTCCTCCCCCTCCCCCTACTGGCTGGGGGGAGGCTTCCGCTGCTTCCAATGCCCCTGGGTGGGGGGATGGAGGGTGGAACGGGGGAGGGGTGAGGGATGGAGGGGATGATGGCAGTGGAGAGGTGGGGTGGCGGGCGAAGGAGCAGGGGCATGGCGGCTGGGGTGGGCTTGGGGATGGGCAGGGGCAAGGGGGCGGAGATGAGTACGAGCAGGATTACAGTGGGTGGCAGGCGGGCTGGAATGGGAATGCGCAGGGGCAGGGAGATGGGTATGGGGAGGAGGAGGAGCATGGGAGCCAGGTGGGGCAGGAGAGGTGGCACCGGAAACGACCTGCAGCTTCGCACTGGAATCAGCACAGTGGGCGTGGGGATGGGCATGGGGAGGATTGGGGAAACGGGGAGTGTGGGGAGGGTGGGGAGGGGGAGGAGTATGAGATGGTGGGGGAGGTGGTGAGTGTGCTGCACCGAGTGAGCCGTGACTTTGTGGTTTGCCTTAAAGACCATGTGGATGAGGTGGAAGGGGGTGCTGCGGGGGCGAGAGGAGGGGAGTGGCTGTGGGGGGAGGAGGAAGAGGAAGAGGAGGAGGAAGAAGAGGAGGAAGAGGAGGAGGAGGAAGACGAGGAGGAAGAGGAGAGTGAGGAGGAAGAGAGTGACGAAGAGGAGGGAGAGGATGAACAGGAGGAAGAGGAAGGAGAGGAGGGAGTGGAAGAGGAGGCACAAGAGCAGCACAGGCACAGTGTGCTGTCAACTGCACATGAGCTGGCAGAAGGAGCAGCAGTGCATGGTGTGAGAAGCTCCAGCACGGCCACATGCAGCGAGCCGGACACCACTCCGTACAGCAGTATGCGGGGTGGCAGCAGCATGAGGAGTGAGAGCATAGGCATAGGGAGCGGGGAGAGCAGCATGCGGATGCACATCATGGGAGCAAGCAGCACAACAGCCAGCTCTCGCAGCAAGCTCTCCCGTGCCTCGTCCTCCAAGTGAGTGCTTGACTGTGTCAGAATAAGTATTCCTGCTTTCTTGTCCTAAGTAACCAACTACTTCTCACGTAGAGTCAGGTACAATGCTCTCTTCTGTCTAAAGTGTACAACCAGACTAGGCTGAACTCTGGTTGGGGTTAGAAATATTGCAGTGGCTCAGTTAATTGGCCTCCAGAGTTGGGTAGGGAGGTTGCTGAAGCACACATAACATTGGCTCAACATCGACGAATGGTTTAGGAACCCTTGAGAAATACCCAACCCAAATGACTGCTGGGGGACAATGATTCCTCAAAATAGTGTTTTCAACCAAACCCTGAACCCCTTGTTATCTCATCATTATGTGAACTCGTACTTGAGATCCTTTTTACCCCTCAGACCCGCTTGACCCTGTTTATGCTTGTTCTGCCCCTTGCCTGTGTGCCCCTTGCCTGTCTGCCCCTTGCCTGTCTTCCCCTTGCCTGTCTGCCCCTTGCCTGTCTGCCCCTTTCCTGTCTGCCCCTTGCCTGTCTGCCCCTTGCCTGTCTTCCCCTTGCCTGTGTGCCCCTTGCCTGTCTGCCCCTTGCCTGTCTGCCCCTTGCCTGTCTGCCCCTTGCCTGTCTGCCCCTTGCCTGTCTTCCCCTTGCCTGTCTGCCCCTTGCCTGTCTGCCCCTTGCCTGTGTGCCCCTTGCCTGTCTGCCCCTTGCCTGTCTGCCCCTTGCCTGTCTGCCCCTTGCCTGTCTGCCCCTTGCCTGTCTGCACCTTGCCCATGTGTTTTCCGGCAGAGCAAGGATGGGCTTCCTCTGTGTGCCCATGGATGCTCGCCTGCCGCTGGTGAGTGTTGCTGCATACGAGAGTCCTAACAGCGTCAGGAAGAGTTGTGTTGGAAAAGTGTTCATGGTAGTGAGAAGGAGAGGGGAGTTGGTTTGGCCAACCGTATTGACCCCAATCAATATGCTCGGTTGAACAGCTATCGAGGGTCCCAAACATCTTGGTCAAAGATCACTGGGGGCCCACTAATCCGCAAGTAACTTTGTGGGTCAGGTAATTGAGTCAAGGGAAGAATAGATTCCCAACCCAACCCCAACAAGGATACAACCAGTTTTGGTGCTTAACTCTACCCAAGGTTAGTATATATTTAGGATACAAAAATGATTGTTTCAAAATGACCCCTTAGCCTACAAAGAGCTACACAGCTTGGGTGGGTGAAAGAGGAAACACCTTGAATCAAGAAGATGGAGGGCAAGCCCCAAGAACCGAAAAAGGCAGTGTGAAGAGAGCGATAAGGCCTCCTCTGCTCCATCCCTCCAGCCGCTTCCCCGCTTAACTCCTCTCCTCTCTTCCACTCCGCATCCATTGCGCCTCCCCCTCCCCCTCCCCCTCCCCCTCCCCCTCCCCCTCCCCCTCTGCCTCCCGCTCCTCCCCCTCCGCATTCCCCCCCTTACCTCCCCACCTTCCTCCCTCCCAGATGTTCCTGCGCACCACTCAGGCGGACCGCCTTCGTGCAACCCGCTTTGTCGTGCGCCTGGCAGGTGAGGGGGGAGGTGGGGAGGGGATCAGGGGGTGGAAAGATGGTATGGGAGGGTGGGAGGGGGGGACGGGAGGGGAGGACGAGGGAAGGTTTGCAAGTGAGGAAAGGAGGGGAGGAGATGAGGTGAGTGTGAGAGGTGAGGGTGGGAGAAGAGTTGTTCCACATACTGAAGCTGCCTCCACTGCAAGGCAGGGCAGGAGGTGAGTTTTGGCGAAATTTGGTGAGGTACAGCACATTGCATTAGCATATCATTATTCTCCCCCATTCTTCAGCATGGCTCCGTGTGCCATCATCCCACCCTTTCCTCTAGCACCCTTCCCCTACACCCGCTCCTCTACTTCCCCACAACCCCTCCTTTCCTCCCCCCCCCGCCCATCCTTCCCCATCTCCCTTCCTCCTGCGTACGACCGCTACTAGCGCCACCCAGAACTTGTGCTGTGCTTCGAATGGTCTCGATAAACACTCTCCTTTCCCTTCCTATCCCCTCTACTTCCTTGTCTCCCCCTTTCTCTTCCCCCCCTCCTCTCCCCTCAGCGTGGGACCGCTACTCACGCCACCCAGACGTGTACCTGGTGAGGACGCTGGGGCCAATGGGAGCCCTCCACGTGGAGCAGGCAGTGCTGCTGGACGACATGGGGCTTGCCTTCCCGCCCTTCGGTGACGGGTGCGTGCATTGAGGGGACTTGGAGCGTGGGTGGGTGGGCGGGTTACAAGATAAGGGTGGGTAGATAGCTGCAAGCTCTGATCATCGACTAGTAAGTAATTCAAAAGGGAAACTAATGATTGACCTAGGCTTGTTAAGAGCATGTATAGGTAACCGTTGTAAGCTACGGGTGGGTGGGTGGGCAGGCGGGTTACAAGCTACGGGTGGTAGATAGCTGCAAGCTCTGATCTCCGCTGATCACCGACTAGTAAGTAATCCAAAAGGGAAACTGATGATTGGTCTAGGCTAGTTGAGAGCATGTATAGGTAACTGTAATAATTTTAAAACAGTAGCTTACACGCAGTTCAAAGCATACGCGTGTTTCGGCTGTTAGACCTTCATCGGTGTTCCAAATCTTAAGATGCACGTAAACTGCTAAGTCTATGCAGTGGCTTGCTAGGTAGGTAATGTGCAGGTTAAGTAGGATTCAAAACGCCAATAAATGCATAACAGTCGAAATGCGCGTACGCTCTGAACTGCTTGTTGGCTATCGTTTTAATATTACAACGGTTACTTTCGGCGACGGATGGTTGGATTGAGGGGACTTGATGTGTGGGTGTTGGACGGGTGGGTGGATGGGCATGGGTGGGTGGGTGCTTGTGTGGGTGGAGGGATGGGTGGATGAGTGCATGTGTCTCTGTGTCTTGTGTGTGTAACACTCCTCTCCCACCTCGCCACTCTCGCCTCGCTTTTCCATTCGCATTCTCTCTAATCTCTCTTCTTGACCACCACTCACTCCGCGCACCCTACTTGCCAGAGCTCTGCAGATCGCCCACTATGAGCTCTGTGGTTACATACTGCCAGAGATTTCCCCACCAGCACCACCTAGCACCACCAGTGTGCCTCCACCCACCCTGATGCCTCTCCACCTTACATGTCACCGTATTCTGGCCACCCTCACTCACTCGCTACCCTCACTCACCCACCACCCTCACTCACCCGCCACCCTCACTCTTTCAGAACAGTTGCACTGGGGATGCTCCATTGATCCTAGTGAAGGGTTATAGGCTCGTTGGCCTGGGGGGTTATGGGCGCACTGACCTGCTACTTAACAAGCCCTTTTATCCCAGTGGTCTAGTGGCTGGAATTTTGACATGGTATCAGAGCGAAAGTCTCGGGTTCGAATCCCCATGTGCGCACATGCTGGCGGGGTCGCTGTGCTGCGTCCTATGGCATCCTTGTGAGGGGGGGTGTCAGAACACTTGCACTGGGGATGCCCAATTGATCCTAGGAAAGGGTTACAAGCTCGTTGGCCTGGGGGGTTATGGGCGCACCGACCCGTTACTTAACAAGCTCTTTTATCCCAGTGGTCTAGTGGCTGGGATTCTGACACACTCATCCGCCACCCTCACTCACCCGCCACCCTGCTACCTACCAGCGCTCTGCAGGAAATCCCTCAACCAGCGGCAGGGGCTGCAGCAGAGGGCAGGGAGGGGGAGTGGCGGGTGCCTGAGGAGGAGATAGCCAGGCGCAGGGACCTGCGGGATGGGGCGCACTTTATGTGCAGGTGAGGGGCGGGGGGTCGCGGGAACGAGGGTGTTAGAGGGTGAACTTCTCTCTCTCTCTGTCTAAGCAGCGGGCAGGTAGGAGGAGTGGCGGGTGCCTGAGGAGGAAATAGCGAGATGCAGGGACCTGCAGGATGGGGCACACTTCATGTGCAGGTGAGAGGGAGAGGGGATGAGGGGGCGAGGGGGCGGGGGGTGGAGTGGTGTTCGTGTTATTTTGTGCTCTCTTCCCTCCCTCCCTTCCCTCCCCTTCCCCAATTTTCCCCAACTAGTGTGATTACCCTTTCTCTGCATTTATTCCCTTCCTCCTCTCTCTCTCTACCTCCCCCCCCTCCCTCCCACTTCCCTCTTCCTTAGCATCGATCCCCCAGGCAGCAAGGATGTGGATGATGTGCTCTCCACCGCTCACCTTCCCAACGGCCTCATTCAGGTGGGTCTATTACAGGTGTTTCTTCAAGTAGGTCAGTTTCAGGTGTTTGCCAGATTCTACTGGCGGGACTCCCTCCTGGAGATGTTTCGTTTCGTTGGATCCTTCCTGCCTCCACATCCCACAGCACCACAGCGCAAAGGCAACTTTTGAGTCGACTCAAAACGAGGTGACTTTTGAGTCGACTCAAAAGTCACCTCCTTCCTGCCTCCACATCCCACAGCACCACAGTGCAAAGCAAAGGCACCGCTGCAGTTGAACTTCTGCATGCCGCGTCAACAACAGAGCAGGTGCTGAGTTGATGCGTGTGCTCGTTTCCCTGTCTCCTCGGCACATCCAAACCCCCAGGTGGGGGTGCACATTGCAGACGTGGCGTTCTTCGTGCGGCCAGGCAGTCTATTGGATGCAGAGGCTAGGGCGAGGGGCACGTCTGTGTATCTCGCCAACCAGCGCAGCAACATGCTGCCAGAGGCCTTGAGGTAACCACATGGCATCATGAATTCAATCTGTATTTTCTTCCCTCAACCCATTCCACCACCATGCTAGAGTAGGCTAGTTTTCGCTCTGTACTTTATTCTGGTCTTGCAATACTTTTTCGGCCAGAATTGGCCTTGGTTTTAATTCAGATTCAGTTTAGGTTTATTTTAGACGTTTGTTTCCTATACTGAACATGCCCTAGGTTCAGTTGAGGTTTCACCCCAACCAACCCCATATCGTTGTGTGGTCATCTTCTCAATGAAACCTTTTTCCTTGCCCTCCACTCCACTCCCCTCCTCTCTCCTCACTGCAGCGAGGGTCTCTGTTTCCTAGACATGAGCAACGGGTGAACACCGAACATGTTCGCCCGAACCTCCACGAACATGTCTTGTAGGCGAACCGAACATGTTCGGTTCGCCCGAACATTTTTTGGCGATTTTAGGTGTTCGGTGTTCGTGATAGGGGGACGAACGTGTTCGAGGTTCAAGAGTGTGTTTTCAGTGGGCCAACTCCTCCCCCGTGGCCTCCCTCCCCCCCTTTCCGAACATCGAACATGTTCGGCCGAACATTTTTTGCCAAAAAGCATTTTCGGTTCAGTTCTGTCACGAACATGTTCGGACGAACCGAACAGGCGTTCGGATTTTTGCTCATGTCTACTGTTCCCTACTGTGCGGACGCACGCGGCTGGCAGCGAGTGTCATCTGGACACTAGAGCCCTCCTTTCCCTTGCCCTCCACTCCCTGCCCTCCCCTCTCTCTGCTCCCTTTGTCATCCACCAGTGAGGGTCTCTGTTCATTGTTGGGAGGCCGCACGCGACTGGCAGTGAGTGTCATCTGGACGCTTGATCCCTCCCACCACTTTGCACTCGTGGGGCCACCTTGGTTCGGCCGAACCGTCATCCGATCCAACCACCAGGTGACGAGTGCTGTGGAATGGAAGTGCAGTGATGATCGAAATCACCTCATGTGCTTCTTTGTCGGCATTCCACGCTCTTGACTCTCCTCTCTTGTACTAACCCGTATGTTTCTCCTCCCTTTTTCCACGCTCTTACATATGTTCTCATTGTATGATGGTATCTGCTTGCTTGCTTGTCTTGATCTCCCCCTCTCCTCTCCCTATGGTCCCCACACACCCCCTCCTCCCAGTATCACCCTTCCCATCTGCAAATCTCTCGTACACTGCTGTTGAAGCAACAACGCCCGGCAGACAGGCCAAAAGAGGTGGCACACATGTCTCCCCCCTCCTGCTCCTCCTCCTTTCCCATCCCCTCACTCACCCCTCCGTTCCCCTTCTGCCAGCTCTCGTACGCCCAGGCGCAGGCCATAGCAGACGGAGTGCATCCACTGCTCGAGGAGCATCGCCTGGCAGACGGAGCGAGGGAAAGAGGGAGCACACACACAGTTACCCACTCAACCCTCCTCTTCCACTCCCCCTCCTCCCTACCCCTCCCCCCACAGCTCTCGTACGTGCAGGCACAGGCCATAGCAGACGGAGTGCACCCGTTGCCAGCGGAACACCAACTGGCGGGCGGGCAGAGGGAAGTGGCGCGAGCCAAGACGTGCATCGCCACTCTTACTGCTTTTGCTCGGGTCAGTAACTGAAACCTATTGTCAAGGGGGCATGTGGCGCTGGTTGGCTGGCTGGGTTGAGAGAGCTAACAACGCCCTCAGGGCTAGCCTGAGTTGCAGGAGGAGGAAGTGATGGAGCTTAGAGGAAGAATGTATACAGAGGAGGGGAGGAGGTGTGAGGCAGGGCGGGCTGCAGAAGCAGTGACAATAGAGCTTTGGGAAGCGGGTGCCGCAGCTGTGGCCCTCGCTCGGGAGAAGGCTGCGTTGGAAGAGAAGCTTCGGGAGATGCAGAGTCGGGAGAAGCGAGGTGAGGAGGAGAGGACGGAGCTGGAAGAGGGTCTGAGGTGGGAGAACGTTTCCCTCTTCCAGCTGCGCGGCAGGGGTAGCTGGCAGGGGCGCTGGAGCTGGCGAGTGTGGAGCAGAGCTCTGTTCTCTCCTTGCCTGGCTCCCTCTTCTTTCCTCCCCCCTTCTCATTGCTAATCCCAGGAGCTGCGGAGGCAGAGGCAGAGGGCGGGGGCGCTGGAGCTGGCGAGTGCGGAGCTGCGGTTCGAGTTTGACGAGAGCAGAGGGACGCCCAAACGAGTGTTCTGCAAACAGGAGATCCCGGTGGGTGGGTCGGTGGTGGTGAGTGAGTGTGAGGGGAGGCGATGGTGAGAGGGCGGGTGCGCTGGGGCTTGCAGTGAAAGCTGCGGTTTGAGTTTGGTGAAAACAGAGGGGCGTCGAAACGGGTGTTCTGCAAGCAGGAGATCCCGGTGGGTGGGCCGGGCTGGTGAGGAAGGGGAGGCGGTGGTGCGAGTGTGAGTGCGCTGGGGCTTGCCGTGAGAGCTGCGATTTGAGTTGGAAGAGAGCACAGGGACGCCCAGGAGAGTGTTCTGAGTGTTCTGCAAGCAGGAGATTCCGGTTAGTGAAAGCGAGGATCGTGGTGAGTGGGGGTTCATAGTTAGACTCGATATCACTGGAAGTAGTGAGAAGGGTTGGTGGTGAAAGAGGAGTTGTGCTCGGTTCTGAGAATCCTCAAAACCGATCTACTGCATGCTTGGCTCGCCAGTGCCTCCTTCCACTTCCACTCGCTTGCAATTCTCCTCCCTTTTGTTGTACCACGCACCCCCTTCGTCCTCCCTTTTGTTGTACCACGCACCCCCTTCGTCCTCCCTTTTGTTGTACCACGCACCCCCTTCATCCTCCCTTTTGTTGTACCACGCACCCCCTCCGTCCTCCCTTTTGTTGTACCGCGCACCCCCTGCACCCCCTTCGTCCTCCCTGAACGGAATGCACGGCCTCCCCTCCCCCTTGTGGTGCATCACATGCTGCTCGCCAACACTGCGGTTCCCGTCCTCACCTGAACGCCCCCCCTCTGGTGGCAGAGCTCACACTGCCCGCCAACACTGTCCCTCACTCCTATGCAATCCTCCTCCCTCACTCTCCAGCACTCTCTCCCTCACTTCTCCCTGTCCGCTGCCGGCCATCAGATGGACACGGTGGTGTTGAGAGGGTGTTTTTGAGACGTCTCAAATACTTTTGAGTCGACTCAAAAGACGTCTCAAAAACAGCCTCCCTGTCCGCTGTCGGCCATCAGATGGACGCTGTGGTGGCAGGGCTCTTGGTGCCGTGCCGTGCCCTCCAATGCTGCTGTATGTATCTCACGCCCGTGCGATTCTCCTTCCTCATTCGCCAGTGCCCCTCCCCTCCTCCTTCTCCACTCCCCTCTGCCCTGTGCCCACCATCAGATGAACGCAGTGGTGGCGGAGCTCATGGTGCTGGCCAATGCTGCCGTCGCCCGCAAGCTCACCCGGTGAGAACCCCAACCTGCACGCACACAACAGGTTTCTGGCACACCCAACCCACCACATAGCCCTCCATAACGCACACGGGCCACAATCACATGGCAGCTTTTGGCACCTTCTTTCTGTCACTGTTGCATGCCCATGCCCTGTCTTACGTTGCAATTCGATTGCACTTTCGTTCCTTCTTCTTTCCCCACCCCCATCATGGTTTGTTGGAACGGAGCCAGGGCCTTCCCATCGACCGCCTTTCTGCGGCGCCACGCTCCTCCTCGCCCAAACGGCTTCCGCCATCTCATGCATGTGAGGGTGGTGGGGTCAAGCAGGTGTGCGTGCTGTGTGATGCATGTGGATGATGGTGGGGTGAACAAGGTCTGAGTGCTGTGTCATGTATGTGGGTGATACGGCGTGACGGCAGCATGGCATGCAGATCACCTGCTAACAAGCATCAAACTGTGCACTTTTTTATTCTATATAAGCCTCTGTAAACTCTTCAGTGCTTTCATGTGTGTCGATGCCCTGTGTTGCACCTCTTTCTTCTATTCTTGTCTCTGTGGCATGACCTTCTATTCTTGTCTCTGTGTCGCACCCTCCTCTCAGTGCTGCGCGGTGCGAGGCATTGCACTCGAAACGTCAACAAACAAGGTCAGCATTCATCCAAGGCGCATGGAACAACTGAATTTTGAACCTTTCACATCGTTTCTTTCCAAGGAGTCATGCAAGCAATCATAGCAGCTTGGAATATTTTATAGAACGTTCTGCATGCCCCTTTCGGGCTTGCCCCTTTCGTGCTTGCCCCTTTCGTGCTTGCCCCTTTCGTGCTTGCCCCTTTCGTGCTTGCCCCTTTCGTGCATGCCCCTTTCGTGCTTGCCTCCCCTTCCCTTCACTACTCTACTCTGCTTTTCTCTCCTCCCTTCTCCTTTTCATGTCCTCTCCTCTCCTCTCCTCTCCTCCCCTCCCCTCCCCTCCCCTCCCCTCCCGTCCCCTCCCCTCCCCTCCCCTCCCCTCCCTTCCCCTCCCCTCCCCTCCCCTCCCCTTCCCTCACTCTTCTCCCCTCCCCTGCCCTCCCTTCTTTTGAGCAATAAACCCCATCATCACTCCCCGTCGCTCTCCCAACAGGCACTAGCAGCGTCGCTGGCAGCAGTGAAGCACTTGGGAGACCCCGTCCTGGATGTGAGCTCCACACCAACCCTTCATTGGAGTCGACTCATGAAGCTCCTTCTCTAACTCCCCTTCCGCTTGCCGCAACCTTGGATGCTCTCTCTTAAATTGTCTGCACTCTTGAGAAGAAAACATTTCCTAACTTGATGCTCGTTCTCCAACTGTGGTCCCCTGCTGCCATGCCTTGCATATGTCTCACCCCTTTCAGACATGTCTCACCCCTTTCATACATGTCTCACCCCTTACATACATGTCTCACCCCTTTCATACATGTCTCACCCCTTCATACATGTCTCACCCCTTTCATACATGTCTCACCCCTTTCATACATGTCTCACCCCTTTCATACATGTCTCACCCCTTTCATACATGTCTCACCCCTTTCATACATGTCTCACCCCTTTCATACATGTCTCACCCCTTTCATACATGTCTCACCCCTTTCATACATGTCTCACCCCTTTCATACATGTCTCACCCCTTTCATACATGTCTCACCCCTTTCATACATGTCTCACCCCTTTCATACATGTCTCACCCCTTTCATACATGTCTCACCCCTTTCATACATGTCTCACCCCTTTCATACATGTCTCACCCCTTTCATACATGTCTCACCCCTTTCATACATGTCTCACCCCTTTCATACATGTCTCACCCCTTTCATACATGTCTCACCCCTTTCATACATGTCTCACCCCTTTCATACATGTCTCACCCCTTTCATACATGTCTCCTGCATATCTGCTTGCTTGTCTCGTCCGCATCATCATTTCATGGCTGTTGTTGCAGTACGGGCTCAAGGCTCTCAGCACGCGTGCACTCTCAGAGGTGAGACACGCAGATGAGACACGCAGATGAGACATGGAGATGAGACATGGAGATGTGAGAGAAAAAAAGGGAAGACGCAATGGGATGTGGTGGCACCATGCATGCATGCACCTTCATTCATGTGCGTATGCACGCATTTTGCAAGCTTGCAACATCCTTGTGCCATGCACACGCCAACCTTATGTCATCCCCATTGTATCCACATGCACATCAGGCGGAGTACCTGCCAGCATCAGCGGCAGCAGCGGATGGCATCGGGGCTCATCACTACGGCCTCGCAGTGGAGTGAGTGGCATGTGTCGAGCCGAGGTGACTATAGGATCCAGTGAGTTATGATAATCTCAAAATTCACCTGAAAAGTACCACGTGTATACAGTGAATTTCTGAGACGTCTCAAAAATTCACTGTATACACTATGTAGTCGACGGCAGCTTCGTTATTGAGGGACTCTTCTAGTATGAGGAGGTCATGTTTGGAAGTTGGGAGAGTGTAAGGAATTGTAATTCCTTACTGTACTCGCACTTTTGCGAGTACATCCCAAGGGTCACACAACCCTCACGTTCGGCCTTTGTCCTCGCACCGAACCACTCCCGAGTACCTGGTGGCGTTGGAGAGAATGCACTCGTCCCTTTAGAATCGACGCACGAGTCACCTTGTCACAAGTGCATTTACTCAGAGGATAATAGCAGCAGCAAGTGGCATCAGGAGGACATATCACTACTCCCTGGCAGTGGGGAATCGGTGGCATGTCCCGGTCTCTCACTCTCCCAGAGCCACTTACAAAACGACCTTTGAGACGTTACAAAACGACCTTTGAGACGTTACAAAACGACCTTTGAGACGTTACAAAACGACCTTTGAGACGTTACAAAACGACCTTTGAGACGTTACAAAACGACCTGCCAAAAAGTGTAGAAACGTCCTCCGTGCCATCCCTCCCTCCCTCCAGCCTAGACTCCCACTTCACCTCCTCCATCTGCCGCTGTGCTGACCTGCCATGCACCCGCAGTAGTTTGCCACTCTGACTTTATTCAACACTCTCTTTCCAGGCGACTTTGCTGCCCCGTTTCCAAGTTGATTCTCAAGCGAAACTCCGTTTTCACCCCATTTCCACTCACGCCCTTCCCATCCCTCCCATCCTCAAACCTCTACTCCCTTTCACCTCCCCCATCCGTCGCTACACTGACCTGCTAGTGCACCGACAGCTGCTGCTGCTCTCAGTTGATTCAACACTCCTTCCTGCCTCCCTCTCCGCTCCTCTCCTTCCCTTACTCTCCTTCCCCTCTCCCCTCCGTCCCTCGCCCCCCTCCAGCCTCTATTCCCACTTCACCTCGCCCATTCGCCGCTATGCCGACCTGCTCGTGCACCGGCAGCTGTTGGCAGCACTGCAGCAAGAGAAGCGGGATCGTGGGGAGGCGGGCGGGAAGCAGGGAGGGAGAGGTACTGTCCAGGGGGCGGATGGGAAGGGGGGGACTGTTGAAGAGGGAAACGGGGATGGAGGGAGGGGACAGGGCGGAGCAGGGGAAGGGGGGGCAGAAGGAGGAGGGCGGTCGGGTGGGGGAGGAGGTGGGAGGAGGAAGGCGTGGGGTGCTGCAGCCAGAGTGTGGGGAGGGGAGGGAGTAAGAGAGGAGGAGGGAGTGGGGGCGGGGGTGGGGGCGGGGGTGGGGGTGGGGGAGGGGGATGCAGCGGAAGGGAGGGAGGGCAGAGCTGAGCAAAACAAAGTGGGGGTTGAGGGCGAGGAGGGAGACGGAAGGAGGGAGGAGACGGTGGAGCGAGAGTCACGGGGCGTTGACTGGGACAAGGTGAGGACATTAAAAAGCAAAAGAATAACAAAAGAAAATGACAAAATAACAAACCAACAAAACTATAACTGAAACAAAAGAAAGCAAACAACCAATCAACAAACCACAAAGGAGAACGAAGCACACAAAAAGAGGGTGCAACGCAGGTGTCACTCATATCCCACCTGGCTAGCTCCTCCCGCAGCCTTTCCCCGCTGAGCCCACGTGCAGTACTCAAGTAAGCGCAAGCGAGCACAAGCACAGGCGTACTCTCGTACCATGGTGTGGTGCCAAGCACAGGCGTGCAACCCCCTCGACAGCTCCCCTCTCCCTTATTTCCTCCACCACACCTGCTCGCTGTACACCACACCTGCTCGCTGTACACCATCTCACACAGCATTTTCTGTGATCTCGGCTCCGTCCCTCTTCTTCCCTCCTTCCCCTCTCCTTCCCTTACCCCCCCACCACAGATAGCGGCCCATCTGAACAAGCAAAGCTAGCATCAAAGCGGAACGTGGAGCTCTGTCTCCTGCTGCCTGTGCTGACTCATATCCCCTTCTCTCTTTCTCTTGCATCCTCCCCTTTCCCACTCTCTTTCTCCCCCGCCCCATTCCCACAGCTAGCGGCCCATCTGAACAAGCAGCACCGGCTGGCAAAGATGGCGTCAAAGAGGAGCTCCGAGCTCTGCCTGCTGCTGCTGCTGCGGGATCAAACCTTGGTGGAGCGCGCTGTGGTGAGCAGAAGAGGGTGGGGGGGTAGGTTTCTGGGGGGGGGGGGGGAGGAGGAAGGGGGGTATTTTCACTGCCAGCCGCTGCTGCTGCTGCGGGATCAGCCCTTTTTGGAGCGCACTGTGGTGAGGAAGGGGGGCGAGGAGCACGGGAGGGGTGGTTGGTACGGGGGAGGCAAGGGGTTGGCTTTGCTGCCATCTTCTGCTGAAGGAGGAGATTTGGTGAAGTGGGTTGTGGGGAGGAGTAGCATGGCGAGGGAGCAAGGGGGGGGGGTGAATTGAAGCGATGGGTGTTCCACCACGGGAGGTGTTCCACCACGGGAGGTGTTCCACCACGGGAGGTGTTCCACCACGGGAGGTGTTCCACCACGGGAGGTGTTCCACCACGGGAGGTGTTCCACCACGGGAGGTGTTCCCACCCACGGGAGGTGTTCCCACCACGGGAGGTGTTCCACCACGGGAGGTGTTCCACCACGGGAGGTGTTCCACCACGGGAGGTGTTCCACCACGGGAGGTGTTCCACCACGGGAGGTGTTCCACCACGGGAGGTGTTCCACCACGGGAGGTGTTCCACCACGGGAGGTGTCTCCACCACGGGAGGTGTTCCAACCACGGGAGGTGTTCCACCACGGGAGGTGTTCCACCACGGGAGGTGTTCCACCACGGGAGGTGTTCCACCACGGGAGGTGTTCCACCACGGGAGGTGTTCCACCACGGGAGGTGTTCCACCACGGGAGGTGTTCCACCACGGGAGGTGTTCCACCACGGGAGGTGTTCCACCACGGGAGGTGTTCCACCACGGGAGGTGTTCCACCACGGGAGGTGTTCCACCACGGGAGGTGTTCCACCACGGGAGGTGTTCCACCACGGGAGGTGTTCCACCACGGGAGGTGTTCCACCACGGGAGGTGTTCCACCACGGGAGGTGTTCCACCACGGGAGGTGTTCCACCACGGGAGGTGTTCCACCACGGGAGGTGTTCCACCACGGGAGGTGTTCCACCACGGGAGGTGTTCCACCACGGGAGGTGTTCCACCACGGGAGGTGTTCCACCACGGGAGGTGTTCCACCACGGGAGGTGTTCCACCACGGGAGGTGTTCCACCACGGGAGGTGTTCCACCACGGGAGGTGTTCCACCACGGGAGGTGTTCCACCACGGGAGGTGTTCCACCACGGGAGGTGTTCCACCACGGGAGGTGTTCCACCACGGGAGGTGTTCCACCACGGGAGGTGTTCCACCACGGGAGGTGTTCCACCACGGGAGGTGTTCCACCACGGGAGGTGTTCCACCACGGGAGGTGTTCCACCACGGGAGGTGTTCCACCACGGGAGGTGTTCCACCACGGGAGGTGTTCCACCACGGGAGGTGTTCCACCACGGGAGGTGTTCCACCACGGGAGGTGTTCCACCACGGGAGGTGTTCCACCACGGGAGGTGTTCCACCACGGGAGGTGTTCCACCACGGGAGGTGTTCCACCACGGGAGGTGTTCCACCACGGGAGGTGTTCCACCACGGGAGGTGTTCCACCACGGGAGGTGTTCCACCACGGGAGGTGTTCCACCACGGGAGGTGTTCCACCACGGGAGGTGTTCCACCACGGGAGGTGTTCCACCACGGGAGGTGTTCCACCACGGGAGGTGTTCCACCACGGGAGGTGTTCCACCACGGGAGGTGTTCCACCACGGGAGGTGTTCCACCACGGGAGGTGTTCCACCACGGGAGGTGTTCCACCACGGGAGGTGTTCCACCACGGGAGGTGTTCCACCACGGGAGGTGTTCCACCACGGGAGGTGTTCCACCACGGGAGGTGTTCCACCACGGGAGGTGTTCCACCACGGGAGGTGTTCCACCACGGGAGGTGTTCCACCACGGGAGGTGTTACACCACGGGAGGTGTTCCACCACGGGAGGTGTTACACCACGGGAGGTGTTCCACCACGGGAGGTGTTCCACCACGGGAGGTGTTCCACCACGGGAGGTGTTCCACCACGGGAGGTGTTCCACCACGGGAGGTGTTCCACCACGGGAGGTGTTCCACCACGGGAGGTGTTCCACCACGGGAGGTGTTCCACCACGGGAGGTGTTCCACCACGGGAGGTGTTCCACCACGGGAGGTGTTCCACCACGGGAGGTGTTCCACCACGGGAGGTGTTCCACCACGGGAGGTGTTCCACCACGGGAGGTGTTCCACCACGGGAGGTGTTCCACCACGGGAGGTGTTCCACCACGGGAGGTGTTCCACCACGGGAGGTGTTCCACCACGGGAGGTGTTCTACCACGGGAGGTGTTCCACCACGGGAGGTGTTCCACCACGGGAGGTGTTCCACCACGGGAGGTGTTCCACCACGGGAGGTGTTCCACCACGGGAGGTGTTCCACCACGAGAGGTGTTCCACCACGGGAGGTGTTCCACCACGGGAGGTGTTCCACCACGGGAGGTGTTTCACCACGGGAGGTGTTCCATCACGGGAGGTGTTTCACCACGGGAGGTGTTCCACCACGGGAGGTGTTCCACCACGAGAGGTGTTCCACCACGGGAGGTGTTTCACCACGGGAGGTGTTCCACCACGGGAGGTGTTCCACCACGGGAGGTGTTCCATTACAACCAGTTTGGTGCTCTACGCTGGTGCCCCTGTCTGTTGAAAATACCATCGCACAGTGTTTGCAATCCCTGAATTCGCTCATTTGTTTTACGCCTCTTCAACCCCCCTCCTCCTTCCCCTCCCATCTCTCCCCCTCACCTCTCCGTCCTCCTCTCCTCCCCCACTGCGCATTCCCCCTGCCTTCCCACCTGCTCCCCTGTGCATTCCCCTTGCCTCCCCGCCTGCCTCGTCCCCACACCCACTCAGGTGGTCTCCATTCATGATGGCTATATGACTCTCTTCGTGCCTCGCCTTGATGTGCAAGGCCAGGTGCTCTTTCAGGTGAGGCCAGGTGCTCTTTCAGGTGAGGCCAGGTGCTCTTTCAGGTGAGGCCAGGTGCTCTTTCAGGTGAGGCCAGGTGCTCTTTCAGGTGAGGCCAGGTGCTCTTTCAGGTGAGGCCAGGTGCTCTTTCAGGTGAGGCCAGGTGCTCTTTCAGGTGAGGCCAGGTGCTCTTTCAGGTGAGGCCAGGTGCTCTTTCAGGTGAGGCCAGGTGCTCTTTCAGGTGAGGCCAGGTGCTCTTTCAGGTGAGGCCAGGTGCTCTTTCAGGTGAGGCCAGGTGCTCTTTCAGGTGAGGCCAGGTGCTCTTTCAGGTGAGGCCAGGTGCTCTTTCAGGTGAGGCCAGGTGCTCTTTCAGGTGAGGCCAGGTGCTCTTTCAGGTGAGGCCAGGTGCTCTTTCAGGTGAGGCCAGGTGTCCTTTCTGGTGAGGTTGAACCAGGTGCTCTTTCAGAAATGGTCATTTGCCCATTCAGATGTGCTCAAGTGCTCTTTCAAGTGCTTGCCAGTGCCTTTTTTTGTTAGAGGGAGAGGAGAATGAACCCGGTAAAGTGAGACTAATATTGTAGCTAGTACAGTTTACAGTTTCCTCCATATGCAGTGGTTAAGTTGCAATTTGTAATTCACAATCTGTATCAACTAGTGTACACTCCAAGTTGCAACGGCACTCTGACGGCAAGACAAGGAGGGCACAGCACAGCAAGGTTGCTCCTTGCACATGTGCCATTTGGGAGGAGCTTTCTAATTCCTTCAGCCCTCCTTCCAAGTGACAGCAGGGCAAGGAGGGCATGGAAGGTGGAGGAGGGCAGCGGCGCTTTCAGATTCTCTCCGCACTCCTTCCGTCCTCCCATTTGAGTAGGACAAGGATGGCATGGCAGTGCTACCACGAAAGCACACGGACTGGGAAACAGAGCAGGCGGAGCAGCAGCAGTTCCGGCACCGCCTGCGAGTGAGAGTGGAGACCAGCGATGGCCGACGCGTGGCGCGGGAGAATCTGGGGGTCACTGCTGGTGCCGCTGCTGCTGCTGCTGCTGCTGCTGCTGCTGCTGCTGCTGCTGGTGATGGGGATGAGGAGGTGGAGGAGGAGGGGGTGGAGGGGGAGGAGGGGGAGGAGGGGGGGAGGGGGAGGAGGGGGAGGAGGGGGAGGAGGAGGGTCGTGAGGGGCAGAGCGGCATGGATGTGGATGCGCCTGCATGTGTGAAGATTGTGGTGCGTGCATATGTGGTGAGGTGTGGTGTGGTGTGGTGTGCTGTGCTGTGCTGTGCTGTGGTGTGCTGTGCTGTGCTGTGCTGTGCTGTGCTGTGCTGTGCTGTGCTGTGGTGTGCTGTGCTGTGCTGTGCTGTGCTGTGGTGTGGTGTGGTGTGGTGTGGTGTGGTGTGGTGTGGTGTGGTGTGGGGCACATGACATGTGGCACATGGCATGGAGCACATGGCACACAGCACACGATCAACCACCACATCTGATCATGGCATGCCACACCGTGCAACACCGCAGCATGTTATCCATTCTTTCCACCTCTCATCTTCTCCAACCACCAAGCCGTCGCCTCCCCTCCCCTCGTTTTCTGTATCCCTACCTTCTTTCATGCTGCATGATTCCAAGCCAAAATCATGCCATGTCATGCCATGTCATGCCAGGCACTGCCTCTTGAGCCTTTTTGCCACAATTCACATTCTCTGCAAAACACACCAATTCTCCCCTCTCTTCATTCTCTTCACTCGCCCCTGCTCCCTCCCGTTCCTCCCCTCCCCCCCCCCCCCCCCCCCCCCTCTCTGTTGCTTTCCCAGGATTTCCAGCAGGGCTTTTCTGTTGTTGAGTACTGGCTCTTCCAGACCCTCTGGGTCCAGCTGTCAGCCTCAGGTGATTTCTCAGGTTCAGGTGATTTTCCAAGCTCAGATGGATCCCAATTTCAAGGTGACATTGCTTCCTTCTGAAGGAGAGTTAACAAGCCAAGTCACATTCTCAATCAATATTAAGTAAAACAAAAACAAAAACAAGCACACACACACGCTTTTTTTCTGAGGAACATTATTCTGAAAACTGACCAGCACGTGCACCTCCTTCCCCTGTCAATCTCCTTCACCTGTCAATCTCCTTCACCTGTCAATCTCCTTCACCTGTCAATCTCCTTCACCTGTCAATCTCCTTCACCTGTCAATCTCCTTCCCCCTCCCTCCACCCTCAACCCCCACTCCTCCCATTTTTCCACCTCCTCTTTTCGCAGGCTCCATCGCTCGCTTCCCCACCCTCAAGATGGAGACACTGGCTCCATCGATCCCACTCTTTAGACTGCCGCAGATTTACTTGAAACACAGTTCCTTGTTCTCCCTCCCTTCCCTCCCTCCCAGGCTTCCCAACCCTTAAGATGGAGATAGATACCGGCAGATGAGCCAGTAAAGGTGCTTTTAATATCTCCCGCTTCAAGCACACTCCTTTCTTCGCCCTCCCGCCCTCCCAGGCTCCATCGCTCACTTCCCCACTCTCAAGGTGGAGATACTGGCGGATGCTCACCCCTCAGCCGTCGTAGCGAATCTCAAGAGCCAATCAGAGGATGCCAGCTCAGCTCCGCGAGGGCTGATGGGCGACGAGGAGGGGGGGGGTGGAGAGGGAGCAGAGGAGCCCGCCGTTTCTCACTCTCACTTCGGGCCCTGGAGGGACGAGGAGGAGGAGAGGGGTGAGGGGGGAGAGGGAGGGGAGGTGGGGAAGGGGGAGAACAAGCAGAGGAGGGAGAAGCTGGAAAAGGGGCTCCTGGGAGTTGGAGATAAAGAAAATTTTACGCAAGGTTCAGTGTTTCCAGGAAAGAGACTTGCAGAGGAGGAGTTTCCAGCAGATGTGGATTTTGAGGCAGATGCTGCTGCCGCTGCCACTGCCGCTGCTGTGGCTGCTGCTGTGGTGGCCGGGCAGGGGGAGGAGGAGGAGGAAGTGAGAAAAGAAAGAGGGAAAGGCAGGCAAGAAGAGTGGGTGGAGCAGAAGGGAGGAGTGAAAGGGAAGGGTGGTAGGAAGGGTATGGCAGGTACTGATGAGGCGGGAGAGGAGGTTGATGGGAGTGGTGATGGGGGGAGAGGAGTGAGTGGACGGCGGGTGATTGGGAGGCTTGCTGCAGCGGCAGCTAGCAGTGGCAGCAGTGTCACAGACAGCGGCTTCAGCAGCAGCAATAGCAGCAGCGTTGTTGATGGAGATGGCTGTGGTGGTCAAGTGAACGCCAGTGGTAGCAGGAGCACGAACAGCAACAGCAGGGATCCAGCCACTAGTGGCAGCGGTGGTGTTGCTGGTGGTGGTCAGATGGATGCGTTTCGTGGGCGGTGCGGTGTGCATGATCTCATGGAGGCCATGCGCGCACTGCACATGGCAGGAGGTATGTGATGTGATGCCACGTGGCAGGAAGTATGTGGTGCCACGTGGCAGGAGGTACATGGTGCCACGTGGCAGGAGGTACATGGTGCCACGTGGCAGGAGGTATGTGGTGCCATGGCAGGAGGTATGTGGTGCCATGTGGCAGGGGGTAGAAGACATTATGTGGCAGCAGGTTTATGATTCCACGTGGCAGGGGTGGAGCGCAACAGAGTGAATGAATATCTGCCATGTGATGTGGCCACTGTCGTCTGAAATACATAGTGTTGCAACCCTTCTGCCTGATTGCGGATTCCTTCAACCCTTCTCTCACCGTCCCTCCTACCTTGCCCCTCCCACCTTTTTCTCCTGCTTCACCTCCTTACCTACCCCTCCCACCTTCCCCCTCATCCCTCCTGCCTTTTTCTCACACAAGGAACTGCCCTCCCCTATCCCCCCACATCCCATGCGATTCCATTTCATCTTCAGACCCTACCAGCATGGTCTTCTCTCCGACCGACTTTGTCTTCTCTCTCTCCCAAGCACAACCTCCTCTTGGAGCAACTTCCTCCTCCTCCAATCCTCGTCCTTTGCCGCCTGGTGTCTCCATAAGTGCCACCCTGCCACTGTCGTTGGGCGGGGAGGCGAATACAGGTGGTAGCTCGACCATGCGAAGGAATCTGCTGGTGAGTTTGATGCGTTGAAACTGGGTTTGGGGTCACAATGCTGCTTACCGTGCCTCCCTTATTTCGTGCTCGATTTTGTATTTTGTATTCAGCGTGCCATGCTGCTGTCGTTGTGTGTCGTCCTACTCTCCATTTTCGTATGTACAGCATGCATTAAACTACATTGCTGTTTTTTGCAGGCAAAAGCGGCCCTCACTCGGGCCATGCTGAATAAATCTGCCAAATCGAATGCAGCTGACAAGCAGCAGAGAAGGGCTGCAAGAGAAACCCGTTTACGACTGAGAGCACAAGGTCAATAATATCTGAAGTTAGATGAGGCTTTCTATCTAGATAGGCTATTTGTTGTGCCTTTCAATAGCTAGTGGGCTTCCCGTCCCGAGTCATGTCCTACAAATGACCTCTTACTAATATTTGAAGTTAGGTTATGCATTCTGTGAAGATATGCCACTGTGCTTTTCAATCGCTGATGGTCTTCCTCATGGCATGTAATTAAACGGATTTGTAATTAAATATTCGAAGTTAGATTGCGATTATATCAAGATATCAGGCTGCATTACCTTTCAATCGCTAATGGACTTCCCGAGGCATGTAATGAAGTATACAATTGACCTTTCGTGATCCGTGAGGACGCCAACCCACGGAGCCTCCGAGACGACGCTACCACACGGTGCCTCCAAGTGTCACCTGCCTCCTCAAGTTGCGAAAGGTTACGTGTCCGCGTTCAGGAGGGTGTCGTTAAGAGTCGATTGCACTCTTTGTCTTGTACAGTTGAACGTTGTTGTGCTAGATAATTAACTGACTCAATAATAAAATAGTGGTCTCTTTTTCGTCTTTTTGGAGTCTGGGTTTCCATATGACCCTTGACAGTTGCGAGCCTCGGTCAGTTCCCCTCCTTTCTCGAGCAACTGTGCGGGCTGCCTTGTGCCCTCCAAAAAACAAGTTCGAACCGCTCGAAATAGAAACGTCTCTGTTCCCTAGGTGTTTACACAGGTAGTCTGGAGCAAGACACGTGTCAGTCGCTGCAGGTGTGGTCTGGTCGTGAGGACAGTTCCCCTCCTTTCTCGAGCAACTGTGCGGGCTGCCTTGTGCCCTCCAAAAAACAAGTTTGAACCGCTCGAAATAGAAACGTCTCTGTTCCCTAGGTGTTTACACAGGTAGTCTGGAGCAAGACACGTGTCAGTCGCTGCAGGTGTGGTCTGGTCGTGAGGATTGTTTTTTCGGAGTCGCGATGCACAGGCTCTTAGGGCTTGGTTATCCACGTCGGAGCAGGGCAGATTCTTGAGCCACCATAAAATTTCCCGCCGCTGGCTGTGTGTTGGCGACCTTCCACGCGCGCAAAGAACGTCTTAACTATTTGGCTGGAGAAACAGTCGCAATGCCGAAGTTCCTTCTCTCCCAAGCAAAGCGCTGTCCTGACAGCGCATCATCGCCACCCGCGTGTTTTGAACGGCTGGCTCGACTCTATCTCGCACACCTTGAGCTTGCTGGTCGCATCTGGCGGATTATGATAGCACCGAAGCGACTCTTGGGACTACCATGGGTTGATGCTTCCTTTCTCTGGTCGCGTGTTGACCCTTGATCTTGATCAGAAGGCCCTCTCGGTCTTAGAAGGGCTAGATGATCATGTTAAACTCCAACTACTACCTCGTATTTGTCGACGCGCGTTTGGATGAAAAACGTCACTTGCGTGGTCCGTAAGGTCACGGAACCACCAGACTCCGAGGTATTTAGTCAGGCGTCACCGATCCACATTTATCTCAACTCATCCCTCTCTAAAGTTCTTATCGGCGACCCACTATTCCTGATCAGCGTCCCCATTCGTTCTCACAGAACCAGTATCCCCAGGGATTGCCTTAGCTCCCCTCAGCCATGTCATCACACTTGAGGCTGACGTGATTCCACATTCCGCAACTTTAGCACTTAGTCGACTGATACTCACTCAACCACTTACTCACTGAGCCACTTCGTCAATCTTAACCATGGGTTCTCTCGGCCCTGCTGAGTTCGTCCTTCCCACGGAGCAAGTGCAACTGATCAAAGACACCTTCAAGGCGAAGCTGCAGGCCGATGTGCCTTACCACGCCATGTCGCTCTTCATCAAGTAAGCGCCTTTCCAGAACTTTCCAGGAGTTTCGATTCCAGCACTCGCTGACAACTGTTCCAATCCCCCTGGTGCTTGAAGTTTCTCAGGTCTGTGTGTCTTTGGTCCTGACCTTATACTGACCCGTTTGAATTGACGATTTCACTGGCAGTTTGTTCGAGATTGTGCCGGAAGCTAAGGCCCTTATATCCATGACCAAGGACTACACTGGCCCCATGAGAGACAACAAGGCGCTTCAGGAACACGCCACCACTGTTCTGAAGAAGGTGAGTGATTGGGGACGGAAGTGTTGGTAGGAGCGCTGTTTCAAGGAAGGTGCTATCATCTCAAATTTCATGAATCGTTTTACATAACGTAGATATACTTGCAACATATCCTGAAGTATACAAATAGTATGGGTCATTAGGGGTACCATAAAGTAGCATGCGTCGTAGGTATTTAGTATGTTTGGATTAGTATGTAAACGGTAGAGCACCAATGCATACCAAAACGATACCAACTTCACTAACAAAAACATACTCTTTGGTATGCATTTGTTTCACCATCTGTTTACAATTCCATACTGGCAAGTATATAATCTGCAAAATTATGTTATGCAAACATAGCAAATCACATATATTTGGAACGAAAAATTCCCATACTAGCAACTAGTGCAACCACACAAATCAGTAACAAATTTGTTTAAATGTTAGGATCATTGTGTGTGTTAAAAATATTAATATTAGAGTTGCATGTACACAATACATGAAGATATTGCATCAGAGGCTCTACTAACTTTGCTGAATACACGACGCATATATCGGCACTGAACTTCCTGAAAATACAAACGACACACAGTTCAGGTGGAAATCACACGGAACGGCAGAGACCACCACGTACCTTTAAAAATGATAGTCGCTGCAAAAAACGGCAATACAAATAAGGTCTCAAAGTGAAACAACTGTCATCGCCGTTGCATAAGGTAGCACATAAAAACAACATAAAGATGTAGGCAGTGTGGATGAGTAGCTGGCACGGAAATTTCATTGAGGGAGCTTCCCTTGAAGGCCTGCAGCAAAAACGGTCAAATGTTACAAAAGAGCAAAAGCGTACAAGCAACTGCAGAGCAATAGCACAGATCGGATCTCACTGAGAGCGACCGTGCGCCAAATTGACAAGAAACCAGACTGCGTCACGCCCTCAGTCGCGAATCCTACTAGCAGCACCAGCAGCAGCAGCAGCAGCAGCAGAAGAAGAAGAACGTGCGCCTTACGCCACCACACACTCCGCCGCTAGCAGCAGGTAGCGCAGTTCACTTCACGCCCACTGCCGTGATTCTCGCCAGGAGTAAACCCTAGCTATAAGAACAGGCTGACAAAAATCTAACGCAGACACGAAAGGCATGGCAGTAACGGTTAAAGGTGATGCACGCTAAGTTAGGCAAGTGAACGAGGGCGACCGGAGATCTGAAGGGAAATGGCGTACTAACGCACGTAGAGCACCAATCTGCTTCTGCTGAGACGTGAATGGAAACAGACGCAATAAGACTCAGAGAGGTGGGAGAGCTGGAGCAGTTGCGATGGGGAGAAGGGGGAGGCTGGGGGGATTGGGGAGGGGAGAGAATTCGTGACGCTGGAGATTGTGCGTTTGGCGAGCGCTGCTGCAATTGCGCCAGAGGCAGTTACAGCAGCAGCGCAGTTGCGCCAGCGACATTTACAACTGCTGCGCGGTTGCACTGGCTTTGGCAGCACAATGTTGCACTGCGCTGGCACTTGAGCGGCTGCGCTGGGTTGGCATATTCAGCGGTTGCGCTGGAAGCATTTGCAGCGCGATTGTTCAGCAGCGTTGCGCTGGCAGTCCAATTCAAGCAAACTCATCGCACAAAAATTTTCGTAACCAATCAAAATCTATCCGTATCGCCAGACATTGTTGCTGTAAATCGAATGAACCAATGATTGCCCAAAATGACGTGGATGTTGAAAAATGTCGGCAGAAGTGTTTGTCCGTGTCGCGTCATTAAAACTTCACAATACACACAAAAACAGGATAGCTACAAATCCGATTACTGTGCTAAATATTTGACAAACATACAAGTGAAATGACTGGTATTTAAAAATCCCTGTCTATGATAGCAACAAAGGGCCATAAATGAAATCCTTGTATTCAATATCATACACATGCGGGATATTTTATATGATTAATCACTAAAACGCATACATTCAATTGCGTTTAAGATCTGGTAAAATATACTAACAGCCATACTGGTCACATAATTTGATGCATCAGCTTTATGGGACTTCAATTTTCTCTTTTGAACAAAGGAATGGTGGTAAAAAAGACATCCAGACGTTGGCGAGTTGACATGTTACGCACAGGCCTATTCTGTCAGAGGTCCACTGGTGATCCCCGATTGATCCTAGGGAAGGGCTACAGGCATGTTGGCCTGGGTGGTTATGGGCGCACTGACCCGCTACTTAACAAGCCCTTTTATCCCAATGGTCTAGTGGTTGGGATTCTGACATATTGTTGCATAGTTCGAGACCAGCAAACGCACGAACAAGCGCCAGGAGCTACGTAGTTGAGCGAACGAGCTCAAACCAGTTCCTATGGCAAGGGAATAGGATGCACTTCCCTAATGTGTAAATAAATAGTGTTAAAAAAGGCATCCAGACGTTGGCGAGCTGCCATGTTGAGCGCATGCCTATCTTTGCACAAATTTACAATGAAACGCACGAACAAGCGCCACGTGCTGCGTAGTTGTGCGAATGAGTTCAAACCAGTTCCTATTGTCAAACTTATATGCTATAGTCTGTGTAGGCTGTAGTGGGGTAGATAATATGGGGTAC